TGAGGATGGAGCAGGGAGAAGGAACACACGCAGAGCCCTGTGCAAGGTCTGGAGCACAGCGAGGCCATGAGGTGAGGACATGAGCGCTGATATCCTGCAGCCAGCTGAGAATACAGATGTTGAAGTTGCCGAAGAAGGAAGGGGAATGGAAGTTGGGAAGGACAGAGAGACCCTGACATGACTCCTGAAGCTGTCCAGGATGGAAGAAACAGTAATGGAAGACGCTGATAGTGATTTGGAGGCAGTTAAGTAGGGGATGGTAGAGAGTCCAGAGGAAAATGCATGAAGAGAGGGGGTCAGAAACAGTGGAATCTGAGGCCTTGTGGTAAAAGATTTTTTCCCTTTTTCAGAGACAGGGTCTTACTCTGTCACCCAGGCTGGAGTGTGCTGTGCAATCTTGGCTCACTGCAGCCTTGACCTCCTGGGCTCAAGAGATCCTCTAGCCTCAGCCTCCTGAGTAGCTGGGACTATAAGTGGGCACCTCTACACCTCACTAATTTTTTATTTTTTGCAGAAACAGGGTCTCATTATGAGACCCAGGCTGGTCTCAAACTCCTACCTTCAAGTTCTCCTCCCACCTCAGCCTCCCAAAGTGCTGGAATTACAGATGTGAGCTACCATGCCTAGCTCAAGGCAAAAGATTTTAAAGAACACCTGTTAATGAACAATCAAAGCAATTGCTAAGTTTGAAAACAAAGAAAGATTTGCTTCATGGCAGACTTCACCAGACGGTATTTCTGCAAATCAGTTTCAAGGGAGCGGGGGTGTAGATTTTCACCTTAATACCCTGGATATTATCTGAACGTGCTATCAGAAACCTGCATTGGTTTTATGATGAAAATAAAAGGAAGAAAGAAAACAAAATTGGTCAAGGACAAAGCTAGAATTCAATCGCATCATGAACAAACACTTGTCCACCACCCGTTGGCTCCACAGCTGAACAAAACAGGCAGTCTGAGGTGTGGCTTTATTAACCTTCCCAGTACTCATTGCTGCTAAATCAACTTAAACTATGTGACCCAGTTAACACAAAGAGCCAGTGGAAGTAAATGCTTTAAAAAAACAGGGAGATATAAAACCTTGGGTAAATGTTTAACACGCCATACGCAGAGATCCAGCCACATTCCATCAGCAGCTGCATGTTTGGCCTTCAAGTTTCCAGGGAAGTACCTGGCTCTTCACACTATTTCCTTCAGACAGGAATCCCACTAAGCAAGAGGTCCTGGAAGGCATTGGGTCATAAATAGAGAAAGTGACAAAAGGTAATCAATGTAATAGCTACCATTACCGATGCCTTCTCTGTGCTCAGTTCACACTAAATACCTTGTGCTGTTTATCTCAGTTAGTTGTTAAAATAAAGGAGTAGAAAACAATATTAGTAAACTCCTGCTTACCTTGTGTTTTAGGCCATTCTCGCCTTGCTATAAAGAAAGACTGGACAGGGAAAATGTGACACATATACACCATGGAATATTATGCAGCCATCAAAAATGATGAGTTCATGTTCTCTGTAGGGACATGGATGAACCTGGAGACCATCATTCTCAGCAAACTGACACAAGAACAAAAAATGAAATACCGCATGTTCTCACTTATAGACAGGCGTTGAACAATGAGAACACATGGACACAGGGAGGGGAGCACTACACACTGGGGTCTGTTAGGGGGAATAGGGGAGGGACAGCGAGGGGTGGGGAGTTGGGGAGAGATAGCATGGGGATAAATGCCAGATATAGGTGAAGGGGAGGAAGGCAGCAAATCACACTGCCATGTGTGTACCTATGCAACTATCTTGCATGTTCTTCACATGTACCCCGAAACCTAAAATGCAATAAAAAAAAAAAAGAAATACCTGAGACCGAGTAATTTCTAAAGAAAAGAAGTTTAATTGTCTCATGGTTCTGTGAGCCATACAGGAAGCATAGCAGCAACTGCTTGGCTTCTGAAGAGGCCTCAGGAAACTTACAATCATGGAGAAGGTGAATGGGGAGCAGGCATGACCCATGGGAAAAGCAGGAGTAGGTGTGGGGAAGTGCCACACACTTTTAAACAACCAGATCTTTTGAGAACTCACTATCGTAGAGACAGTATCAAAGACAGCATCAAGCATTCATGAGAAATCACCTGCGTGGTCCAATCACCTCCTGCCAGGCCCCACCTCCAACACTGGGGATTACAATTCAACATGAGATTTGGGCAGGGACACAGATCCAAACTATGTCACCTCGCATTGGCCAGAATTAAGGCACTAGTGTATAAGTCAGAGTTCTTGGTTATAGGCAGCAGAGTCTACGCTAGCTGGTTTAACCAACCAGGAATTTCTTAAGATAAACAGATAGTTCCTTGAGTCATTGGAAGGACTGAAGAAATGGATTCTAGGCTGAACTCTGAAAGTCACCATAGAATTGGGCCATCACGGGAGCTACTGCCTCTTCCACAATCAGGAAGTTGCTGAATTAAGAGGCTATATTCTCCAACAGGAAGTTAGTGCCACAGTCCTCAGCTCCTGAGCCATGTCACATCAGCCACAGCCAGTCAACAACTCAGTCAGAAGGCCACCCCCACAGCAGACCATGCCACATCTGCTGAGACCCTGTCCAGCAAGAGATTCCCAGTACTCTCCTCTCTCTCCTCACCTAACTCAATTCCCAAACAAAGTCTCAGGGTCATCTCTCCACGTGACTTCATTCTGAATCAAGTATAAATAATAAAACTTAAATCCCATCTGAAATCTCAGCTTCAAGAGACTCTGGTGTGTTGAATGACAGAACTCTCCAGTCTCTACACTAGAGGCAGGCAAGAGAGAAAGATGTTGAAACAGAGGTTGAGTATGCTAAACCACTGGATTAGCCACAGTTGCTCCAGAAATTTGGGGCACCCAGTGTATCGTTGGCCAGCCTTTCCCTCCCTCATTTTCAGGCATCCAGTCCACATATATTACCTCATTTTTTCCTCAGCTCCACCTTTCAACAAAGTATTATTATCCCCACTTTATAGATAAGGAAACTGAGTCTCATAAAGTTTAAATAATGTGCAAGAAGGTAATAGACCCAAGGTCTGAACCAAGATCCACTTTGCTATTCTCACATGGTAGAATTTCTACATGTGCTTTGCTGAAACTGATCACCCAACAATAGCAGCTTCTCTCTATTCTCAATTCCCTTTATCCTGGCTGTGATTCACTGGCTTTCCAAATGGCTCAGTAGGCCTGGGACTCCTCCACCTCCAAACCTTTGCTCCAGCAATTTTCTTAATTACTGAGTTTCTTTATCCTGTGGGCCACCTGAGAAGCCATGTGTGTCAGACTGCTTTGGCTCAGAAAGGAGGAAGAATTTATCCATCAGCTTGCATCAGCAATTGATCAAAGAATCAGTCCATGACAGATCATTGTCCTTTCCCCACATCTGACCACCCAGATCACAGCCATCCTTTACTTTGTGTAGAAATCCAAAACTACCTCTCCACAAGGACTTCACCAATCTCCCTGGAAAAGGCCGACCTTCACTGAGACTCCCCTGCATTATGTCTGCACCTCCCTTCAAACATTTCCCAGATACAACTTATATAATAAGTTCAACCCCTTCTATAGTATAACTTCCTTAAAGACAAGAACCATGACATTGACCTCTGTGCCCCTATATATCCTGGCACAGTGCATGTATGTGGTAAGGATTCACGAGATGAATAATAAATGAATGAATGAATTTACCTACTGAGGTGCAATTACAAATCAATTTCTCCAGTCTCCCAGTGCTTTTAATTAGCAAGATTTTCCTTTTTCTCAGCAGTTCACAACCTTCTTGGCACCAGAAACCAGTTTCATGGAAGATAATTTTTCCACAGACAGGCAGGTTTAGGAGACGGTTTTGGGATGATTCAAGTGCATTGTATTTATTGTGCACTTTATTTTTATTATATTGCATTGTAATAGATAATAAAATCCTTATACCACTCACCCTAATGTAGAATGAGCTTGTTTTCTTGCAACTAGACAGTCCCATCTGGGGGTGATGGGAGACAGTGACAGATAACCTGGCATTAGATTCTCATAAGGAGCATGCGACTTAGATCCCTTGCATGCACAGTTCACAGTAGTTCACCATAGAATACCATTCTCAATGTGCTCCCATAAGAATCTAATGCCACTGCTAATCTGACAGGAGGCAGAGCTCAGGCGGTAATGAGAGTGATAGGGAGCAGCTGTAAATACATATGAAGCTTCTCTTGCACACCCACTGCTCACCTCCTGCTGTAGCATGGACTGATACCAGTCCCTGGTCTGGAGGTTGGGAACCCCTGTTTTATCTTTTTCTCCCATATTTAGTGAGACCTCATCAGTTGTTAAATCCCAGGTATTTATCTTCCCTTAAAACACAAATACAGAAACCTAATCCTCAATGTGATAGCATAGGAGGTGGAGATGTTAAAATGTGATTAGGTCACAAGGGTGGAGCCCTTATGAATGGGATTAGTGCCCTTGTAAGAAGCCAAAGAAACCACAGTTGTCTCCCTTCCACCATGTGAGGGCTCAGCTAGAAGGTGCCACCTATGAACCAGGAAGCAGATCCTCACCAGAAAACAGATCTGCCAGTGCCTTGATCTTGGACTTCTCAGCCTCCAGAACTGTGAGAAACAAATGTGTTGTTTATAAGTCACCCAAATAATGGCATTTTGTTGTAGCAGCCCAAATGGACTAAGACATCAGTTAATGTATATAAAATATTTTTTACATATTTATTGGTTTTGTGGCTTCTAACATTTTTTAAATGAACTTAAAAAGAGATAGAGAGAATAATGTCTATCTTTGGAGTTGAAATGAGTTCATTTTTTCTTTGGAACAACCACAAGAGGACACTTTTGACACCAGTGCAGGCATTTACCATAGGTAATTAATCAGGCCAAAAAAGGTGGAATAAACAATGAAAGTAAAAGTATCAAGGAGTCTCCACGCCCTACATTTAATCCATTCAATTTCCTGCTAAAGTAGAATTTCTTCCGTGTGTGTCAATCCTTTGGGATCAGCCTACAGAAACAGTCTCCTCAGTTTCTTTTAGAAACTTCCCAGTTTAGAACCCCGAAAAAGAGTGGCCAGCAGTCACCAAGTCAGGTTCTCTCCTGTGTGCAGCTAATGAGACTGGTAGGCCAGCCGCTTCCTCCTGGTTGCCATGGAAATGACCAGGCCGCTGGCCTTCTGAAGACGGAAAAGAACAGCACGTGGAAGACCACGCATTCCACCCTGGCTTGCAGATTAACCCAGCTGTCAAGCCAGGGTGAAGGATCCGCGGCCAGGCAGAGGTCTGTGGAGTGGAGAGGCGAGGCCTCACGGTGGAACTCTGAGATGTAAGTACTTTCTCTGTTCTTTTTTAAAAAGCATGTCTAGTCTAACAGACAGTTTTTAAGAGCTTCAGAATTTCTGCTGCATGGCAGGAACTGTGACGTTTGGAAGAGCCATTGGCAGGGTCACCTTCTAGTTGCATTTGCATTTCCTGAACCCATAACATACATGTATGAGTGGCTTCCACTGTGAAACACGTTTTAGGCTTCCAAGCATATAGATTCCTCTTTACAGAGATCCTGCCTTTAAAAAAGAAAGATTTTCAGTGCATTAAGCAAAGAATGAAATGGTCTTCTCATTTACACCCTAAAAAGACAAACTCAAGGCTAATCCAACAGATATCTCCTTGAAATCTTGTCTCTATGTTAAAATATCTAACTAGACTTTTCTGTTAGTCTTCAATGGTAAATAACAAGGAAAAGAGATATGACACGTAGCTCTTTTCCTTATTGTGATCACAAAGAAAAGTGGGAACTCCCAAAACATTGGCTTGATATTGTTTCTTTGCTCTGTTTTGTCTTTTAATAGTATTATATTTACTGCCTATTTACACACCAGGCTTTATAGAGTTTGCTGATTAGAAAACAAAGAAAGAGAAGAAAGTAAGTTTGGATGATCATTAACATTTGGATTGGATAGTTCTCATTTTTTAAAAAATTGGTCTTTTATTCAAAAGTGAAAAAGCATGATAAATAATGTAGCAAAAGGCAAGACGAGGAGGGGAATGCTTTAATTCAAAATTTGTAGACCATACGCAGTCCTGCATATATTTCTTTGTTTAATAAGCAGATTTTTGGAAAGTTTTTAGCAAAAGTATGTTGGAGTATATTGAGGACAGGAAATATTTCAAAAACATTATACATGATATTTATTTTAAAACCCCATCCTTAAAAAATACCCAAAAAAAAGACCTCATTTGCTTGAAAAATTTTAATGAGAAGAGCCATCCCTGAGAAGCTTTTCGCTTTTTTTTTTTTTTTTTTTAGGCTAAAGAATGCACTATGTTTGGAAGAAAAAAAAGACTTTTCATTACTTTTTTCTGACAGAAATTAGCATTTTCTGAAAATAAGTTTCAATAAAGTATTTATGGAAATGGGTGCTTTTCAAGAGCTGACTCGGATTTCTCAGCTTTCTTTTCCACACTAATATTTTTCACTGCTTAACTGCTTTTAAAATTCATTATCAGCTTTTAAAATTCAGTGCCCAGTGGCTTGTGTCTGAGTCTGTGGGAGCTAGCAGGTCAATAAACCCCAGTGGGAAGAACAGGCAGACCTCACGGTTCTGTGGGCGTGGGACCAAGGGCAGCTGTGCAAAGCTGCGGATGTGAACCCCGGTGATGCAATTAACTGGGTGTCTACCAAGTCACTCAAAGTAAAAACTCGGAGATTTGCATTCATTGCCTAATTCACTCTCTCAAGGACCTGTGTCAAGCAGAAAGGTACAGTTGCCATATATTTTAGTTAGGACTCCTTGGTTAGGACTTCTGAGAATTCCTTGTCCCACATTCCATACCTATGTTAGCAGAAGCAGCACTCTGCTCATATTGTCCTCTATTCTGATTATGAACTTAAGAACAGAGATTTATTTCTTATGGTTCTGGAGACTGGGAATTCCAAGGTCAAGGAGCCTGTGGCCAGCAAGGGCCTTCTTGCTGTTTCACCCCACGGTGGAAGGTGGAAAGGCAAGAGAGCATGTACATGCACGTAAGAGAGAGAGAGACAGACAGACAGACAGACAGAGAAGAAGGGGTCAAACTCATCCTTTTATTTGAAACCTACTGTGAAGATGACCAACGCACTCCTCAATAACAGCATTAATCCGTTCATGAGGACACTGCCCTCTTGCAGGTATCTCTTAAACCTCCCACCTCTCAACACTGTTGCACTCGGGATTCTGTTCCAACATGTGAACTTTAGGGAACACATTCGAACCATCGCAGTTAGCATGAGGGTTCTATACACATTTAGGTTAAAGGCCACAGCATCTAGTAATAGAATACAATGCATGGACTTTCACTTGAATAGACCCAAGACCCTGGAGTAGGAAATAGCACTGTAATTTCCACCATGACTCTTCAGAGTATAGTTGACTGTCTGGGTTCAAATTTTAGCCATTATTAACTGGTTCCGTGACCCTGGACAAGTTATTTAACCTCCGTGTTCTTCATTTCCTGATATGAAAATGAAACCATATGTGGTGGCTCATGCTTGCAACCCCAGCACTTTGAGAGGCTGAGGTGGGTGGATCACTTGAGGTCAGGAGTTCAAGACCAGCCTGGCCAACATAGCAAAACCTGGTCTCTACTAAAAATACAAAAATTAGCTGAGCATGGTGGTGTACCACCTGTAATCCCAGCTACTTGGGAGGTTGAGGCAGGAGAATCTCTTGAACCTGGGATGTGGAGGTTGCAGTGAGCTGAGGTAGTGCCAGCCTGGATGACAGAGCAAGGCTCTGTCTCAAAAAAAAAAAAAAAAAAAAGAATGGGGCCCTAATATCTACCTGAAGTATTACAGAAAGGATTTAAAATAACATAAAACATGGGAAACACTTAACAGTGCCTGGCACAAAGGAAGCACTCATTAAATCAATTAGTGAATAAAAATATGGATAGTTCCTGATTTCATTCAGTTTTCAATACACAACATACATGTGTCACGTTTTCTATTTTCAAGTATGTTGCCACTTTATCGGTGACCATTTGCTATGTTTAGCTGGCTTAGCCTTGGGAACACAGGGCTGAAGAACAGTGAATTATTGATGCCATAATATTTCTCATAGGAGTCTGAACTTTCTTGGAAATCAGGAGCTGTGTATTTGACACGTTAAGTTGGAGATGTCTGCTAGACACTGAGAAAGAGCTATCAGAAACAATGTGAGGCATGTGAGCATGACGCGGTCAGGATCTAGAGACCTATCTCAGCTCCCCGTCAGCATCTAGGTGGTATTTAATGTCACAGGACAACAGGCAGGCACCAAGAGAGTGGACGCACATACAGAAGACAGCCATGCACTGAGCTGGGGACATGCAATAATGACAGGTAAGAAGATCGGATGCCAGCCAAAAGACTGAGAAGGAGTGGCCTTTGAAGTAGCCAGAAAACCAGGAGAACATGACATCATGGAAGAACAGAAAGGAAGGGAGGAGGCAACTAAGTCAGATGCTGGTGGGAAGTCAAACGAAATGAGAACAGGAAATTAATCACTGGATTTGGTACGGGGTGGCGGGGGGTGGTGGGATTCAGTGGGAACCTGATGAGAATGGTTACAATAGAATGATCCCAGCAAAAGTCTGGTTTTTTGAAGTGGCTTAAAAATCTAACACAACTAGGTATTAGGCTCTATATGATAACAGATTGGCTTACAAAAGCTCTTTTTAAAATTTATTTTGTAATAGACTGATACAGCACTCTAAGAAAAATAGGGTTGAGTCAATTAAGAACTGTCACGTATTCCCCCAACCTAATAAAATGTCATGAAAGAGGAGAGATTGGAAGACAGTGTAAGAGATAAAGATGGTTTCTCAGTGGATAGAAAACAGAAATCATCCCCACATACAGAGGGAAACATAAGCAGATGAGGGGAATGGGGCCCAGATTGCAGAACGAGAAAACACAATGGGGCCATGCGCAATGGCTCACACCTGTCGTCCCCACACTTTGGGAAGTGGGAAGATCTCTTGAGGCCAGAAGTTGTAGGTCAGCCTGGGACTACAGTGAGACCACGTCTCTACAAAAATTTAAAACTTTAGCCAGTGGTACGCACCTATAGTCCTAGCTACTCAGGAGGCTGAGGCGGGAGGATTGCTTGAGCCCAGTAGGTCAAGATGACAGTGAGCTACTGCACTTAGCCTGGGTGACAGAGCAAGACCTTGTCTCAAAAAAGGAAAGAGAGAGAGAAGAAAGAGAAAGGAAGGGAAAGAAAAAGAAAGATGGAAAGAAAGAGAGGAAGGAAGGAGGGAGGGGAGAAAGAGAAGAGAAAGAAAGAAAGAAAGAAAGAAAGAAAGAAAGAAAGAAAGAAAGAAAGAAAGAAAGAAAACCCAGTGAGATATCACACATACACATACTTTCTCTCTCTCTCTCTCTCTCTCTCTCTCTCTCTCTCTCCTCAAGGCTTATCCCCACAACATGCCTTGGTGCCTCTCCTTTTCCAGTTTTGATCCATTTCCCATAAAAGGATTACTTCAAATTTGCATCTCTAAAATGCCTGGTCTCTGGGTCATTAAAAAGAATCTTCTCTGTGGCCAGGAGGTCTGAAGAATTCATTTGGAATTGTGCCTAGACACTATTTCATGGGCACTCGGTTTAGCCCAAATTGTGATGCCAGATTATCTACTGGAGCTCTGCTGCTGTCGCAAAACTAATCTTCGAAGAGTCATCAGTGAGATCAGGACTCACTCTTTTTAAATAAAATTCTTATTTTGCAATAGTTTTAGGTTTACAGAAAAATCATGAAGATAGTACAGACAGTTCTCATATAGAGTTAACATCTTACATTAGTGTGGTACATTTACTGACACATTATTATTATAAAATAAAGTCCAGGGCTGGGCACAGTGGCTCAAGCTTGTAATCCCAGCACTTTGGGAGGCCGAGGCAGGTGGGTCACGAGGTCCAGAGATCAAGACTATCCTGGTCAACATGGTGAAACACCGTCTCTACTAAAAATACAAAAAATTAGCTGGGCATGGCGGCGCATGCCTGTAATCCCAGCTACTCAGGAGGCTGAGGCAGGAGAATTGCCTGAACCCAGCAGGCGGAGGTTGCGGTGAGCTGAGATCACGCCATTGCACTCCAGCCTGGGTAACAAGAGCGAAACTCCGTCTCAAAATAAAATAAAGTCCAAACATTATTCACATGTCCTTAGATTTTACCTATTGTCCCCTTTTTTTGTCCCAGGTTCCCACATTACCTTTAGTCATCATTTCTGGGAGGCATTTTAAAACTCTGAAAAATCTTCCAAGAAAGTAACAAGGTTTAAATGTCCATTGGTTTCAATATTTGTAACT